TATTATTCTTTAACGCGAGGACGGTGAGAGAACCTGACATAAGTCTCAGTGGGCAATATGACTATTCTCCTTTTACTGCCAGGATGACGGTTATGATGAATATTCTTGTCCGCGACAATATTGTGACACAACTCCAAACACTATACTTGATTTATGCAGGTCTGGGCATTTACATTGTCAATGGAAGAACACCTGTTGACAAACCCGATAGCAAAACTTGAATATCATCCAGTAGATGTGGTACAGTGGATTACTTTATAACATCTACTGATTTGTTTTTCAAATATGATTCTAAGCTAAAGTACCTGATTTCAAAACAGGGTGTTAGACGATGCTGCCAGAAAAAACTTGAACGTTTCTTAATCGATACGGCAGAAGATATTAAGGAAGCGGTAATAAAATCAGACTGCACATTATTAATATTATGCGTGAGAATCCATAAACGTTATGTGTCTAAATCTATAACTGATTTAAAGCGCCTTAACAATAGTTTAATTGCTTTAAGGAATGATTAAATTGTGAAGGCACGTTTTTACTGTGGAACTGTGACACGGCAGTATTTAAATCTATTGAAGCTCATATTTGTAACGGTTGTTGAGATTTGAACTTCTTGTGATACTACTGGTGTTAAAGAATAAAACTTGTTAAATAATATTAATCATTTATATTGGAACCAGGCAGCGGGTGAAGACGGATTTCCTACCGATTTTTAAAATCCTCGGGCGCTCATTTATTTCATTATTTGAGAGACCTGTTCAAATAGGTTTGATCAATATTTGTATAAATCTGGTAAATTAAGTGACCAACCCAACTACAGAAGAACGGGTTTCTTAGATAGCTCCGGTGAACTATTTTTAGTCAAGTAGCTTATGGGATTCTTTGAAAGTGTTTTGATGAAAGCATATTATACATTTGTACATGTATATTCTGTTGTGTTCATTACTTAAAGGAGTTTTAAAACAGAAAAAATGCATGAATCCAGAGTTTGGTTCCATTTCTCATTTCTATTTCTCACTCTTAGTCACTGGATTCATTTTTAAAGTTATTTGTTACTCTTAAATTAACAGCCAGAGCTTTCTTTAGCTCTGAAAATCCAAGATGATTGACGTCACTATGACGACCAAGACCTACTTCTGCGAATAGCTTAGACTTTTTATACTGAGGGAAATTATAAGGCATCACATGAAAGTGTTCCTTTTTTTTTTGAATAGAACTAGTGCACGATCATAAAGGAATGTGCTTCCTGTCCTATGTATTGTCTGTAGCAGTGGTCTACATATTGAACTGTATCCAGAAATAAACTTCGTAAGGCTTTTTCTCATGATAAAGCACAAGGTGGTTTTCATGATCTTACTAACAAGTCCTATTCAAACTGTCATACCTTCTACACTGTAATAATGTAAGAACCTCTTCCTGGTTATATTGGATTTGGTAGGTAATCCTAGTAATTTTCAACAAGAATATTTTGAAATAAGTATTCTTAGCCTAAGACAAATTTAACAGATGTTCAATGGCTTGAATGTTAGTCTTGTGATGTTTCTCATCAGTCTTGTGAATGAGTGTGTTGGGTTTTACGCCGCTTTTAGCAATATACCAGCAATATCACGGCGGGGAACACCAGAAGTGGGCTTCACACATTGTACCCATGTGGGGAAACGAACCCGGGCCTTCAACGTGACATGCGCACGGTTTAACCACTGGGCTACCCCATCGCCCCAGCACCACTCTTATAGCTAAACCGACAATTAAGGAATATTATGACACAATTCAGCCCATGAGCAGCCATGGCACACAGGGCTGCTAGAGCTGAGAATTGTACGAGGGGTGTAAATATTGTTTTATAAAATATACCATGGATCTGTATGAAAGACTATCTGAAGACTGAATGCCATATAGCTGGACTGAATGAACATCTGTCTAGTCTATTTATCAATATATATTGCATACTGAGAATGTCCAATCGGAGAATGTCCGACTGGGCAATGACTGACTGGTGGAAATCGTGAGAATGAATCTGATTCTCATCACCTACATTTAGTTACCTTGTATTGATTGATATGTTAACCCAAAATCACCACAGGGTTATTGTTTACAAATGACTCCAATGACTCCATCGTATTCAAACTGATATCTACCCCTGAAGGTCCGGGTTAGAATTGATCTTCAGTAACCCATGCTTGTCGTATGAGGTGACTGACAGGATCGGATGGTCAGGCTCGCTGGCTTGGTTGACACATGTCATTGTATCCCAACTGTGCAGGTCGATGCTCATGATGTTGATCACTGGATTGTCTGGTCCAGACTCGATTATTTACAGACCGCCGCCATACAGCTGGAATATTGCTGAGTGCGGCGTAAAATTAAACTAACTCACTCACTCACTCAAACTGAGATCATGTGACTTTTTAGCAGTCACAAATTCAGATTATTTCTAAATCTAACCAAAACAGACAACATACAACCCTGAGGGGTTACGTTTGGCTCTGTTGTGAGCTTACGCAATTCCAATACAATTTCAGAATATGTGAGCCATTCAAGTGCCTACCACAGCATTCCAAATGTGTTAAGTATTATCAAGTTTCCAATTTGATATGTATGTATATATTATGACATAAATTAAAATCTGATATTAAATTCACTTTGATCGTGGATAATGTACTTAAAGTATTTTGTCTTATCTAAACAACTAACAGTCTGTGAATAGCATTAGTCCGCCCACTAGCAGAAGCTATGTAAACTCGGTGCTGGGGGTCAGAGTGAGTGGGTGACTATGGTTTTATCTAATTTTAGCAATATACCAGCAATATCACTGAGGGGGACACCAGAAGTGGGCTTCACACAATGTACCCATGTGGGGAAACGAACCCGGGCCTTCAACGTGACATGCGCACGGTTTAACCACTGGGCTACCCCATCGCCCCATCACCACTCTTATAGCTAAACCGACAATTAAGGAATATTATGACACAATTCAGCCCATGAGCAGCCATGGCACACAGTGCAAGGGAGACTGTTCTTGTGACACACACGTCAATTTCGTAATGTACTATGACAACGCAAGCACATGATAGTACAGCAATGCACACCACAAATAATTATGTTTCTTTATGTTGAGGGTAATGTCCGGGTATCTCTCCATTCCTGAAACATAATGGAACCGAGCCGCCGAGGCCCATTATATTTAAGGAATGGAGAGTTACGAGGCTATTACCCTACTTAAATTACATTCAAAGTATCAAACTTATATGTCAAAATGAAACCAACTATCAAAGCCTTACATCTGAAACTGGAACACATCGCCCCATTCCAAAATAATGGAGCGAGCAGAAAATTTAATTCAAATGAACTTTATCATGTTAACGAATTCTTTGCGACAGATTGGAAAGTATCTTTCTTTCTACAGCCCTGAACAATGAAGGAGAATTTCCTGGAGCGGCGTTGTGGGTCATGTCGGATGCTGACGGTCATCATGTTAGCCATACTGGCAGTCATCATAGTTCTCGCCGCCACTCTCATAGCCACGTGTGAGTATCCTCTAAGTCACCATAACAACACCCGTGCAGGTCCGGGTTAGAATGAACCTTCAGTAACCCATGCTTGTCGTAAGAGGCGACTAACGGGATCGGGTGGTCAGGCTCGCTGGCTTGGTTGACACATGTCATTTGTTCCCAATTGCGCAGATCGATGCCCATGATGTTGATCACTGGATTATCTGGTCCAGACTCGATTATTTACAGACCGCCGCCATATAGTTGGAATATTGCTGAGTGCGGTGCAAAACTAAACTCACTCACCATAACAACCTTTGCCACCGTCATAGCCACGTGTGAGTATCTAGTGGGTTAGTGGGCTGACCTTGTGTGCTGGCGATTAGGTGCCTGACTCTGAGGGTGTGGGTTCGAATGCCGGATGGGACTCAAACCAAAAAGTACTAGTATCTGTACTTAACTGAGAAAGTGTAATCCCAAATATAGCATATGTTACATTAATAATGCTGACGTCTCCTTCATGTTATCCAAACGATTCCATTGGGTGTCTTTGGGAAATATAGTACCTTGCGATTCATATTAAGGCAAGTCAGTTTGTTGGGCGGAAATAGGCTTACTGTTGGCTCACGTCGCCTTAAACTACAACATCACCGCGATCACCAAGTTACAACCTTACCGAGGTGGGCTGGGATTTCTATAGAATACTGTATAGGGACATTCTGGTGATCTCGCATTCTCGCGATATCGACCTTTGGAAACAAGCTAAAAATGGCAAATCTGCGAGAATTTGTACAATGTCGCATTCTCGACTTGTCGACTTTAAATAAAAAGTGCTATGTACCAAAAACACGAGAATGCGAGATGGCGAGAACGCGAGATTTTGGCCAAATCTCGCGTTTTCGCTATCTCTCTCTTTTGGCATTTTTAGCTTGTTTCCAAAGGTCGAGATCGAAAGAATGCGAGATCGCAAGAATGTTGCTTACAGTATTCCATAGATTTCGTACTTGTTACGTTCCTTCCATGTCGTTCCTACTGACCAATCAGAATCCACCTCTCCCGTAACTTGTATTTGCTTCAAGCGAAATGGCACGGCTCAGTCAACACGATCTAATCTAGTTAATCCAAGAGACGTTTCATATTCCCTGTCTGATAGATTATAACAACACTCAGTCAAGTAAACTGAACACTGCAGAAGGTTTGGAAAATGTCTGTCGACGCCCAATTAATGGCGCATATGCCTTTCCCACCCTGCAGTCGTCCAAAATCTGCGCAACAGCCGCCATGTTGTTTACTTGATTTGACTGGATTGTGCGTAGAACCGTTAGTCCAGCCCAAAAATCATGCCAAAATTCCAGCCTTGTTCGACAAGGTTGGAGACTGAATTTTTATGGTCAGTTACCTCCCTTGCCCCTGGAAGAAAACTAAGTGCTAACAGAGGTTAGATATTCGTAAATATTAGGATCAGCATATTCTTCGGTCACTAACAGTTGCATGTTGTCTTCACAGTGGCCCAAGGGTCAGCATCCACCACAGTCACCATGGGGACAGACGAAGGTAAGAACAGCAGCGTTTTGCCAGTTCAAGTATCATAAATAATACATACAACTTTATGGATGACAACTTCTTGTTTATTGCATAGAGCGACGTTTCGGTGTAGGTTCTTACACCGTTATCACGCTATAATTTCTGATAAACGTCGCTCTATGCAATAAATGGTGATATTCAGTAACCCATGCTTGTCGTAAGAGGCGAGTAACGGGATCGGGTGGTCAGGCTCGCTGACTTGGTTGACAAGCCATCGTATCCCAGTTGCGTAGATCGATGCTGATACTGTTGAGCACTGGATTGTCTGGTCCAGACTCCATTATTGTCAGACCGCCGCCACACAGCTGGAATATTGCTGAGTGCGGCGTAAAACTAAACGCACTCACTCACATTTATAGGTGTGATCTACACAGCCTGCAGTGACACAATCACATACAGAAGCAAGACACCTGGTGTTGCCAAAAATGTTTAAGTGGGGTCAAATGGGGATAACGTTGTTATAACAAAACAGCGACGCTCGCTCATACAGCAACGTGCATGTGTAGCTTTTTGGAGACGTTCTTATGCAGATTGTATAGCGCTGCCACACTTAGATACCATACGACAGTTTACCACAGATACCCTACTCAGACACAACATACTCTCAGCCGACCAGTGCATGCTTTATTCCTTTAATGTTGATAGCTAGTCAGGGTAACATGACTTTATGCTCTCTGTGTACATGTTCCATCCACGAGAGGTTCTCAAAGCTCTTGTACAAAGTGGCTAGAATATCAAAGAATATACAAGTTATGGATTTATTTTATAGGCCATTATTGATTCTATAAGAGTATAATAGAGAAGTTATTAGCTTTAAAATGTGTCTTTTTGCCCTTTGTTAACTTCTAAAATACGTACCGAGTTGTTCATTTGTTGCCTTTTTATGTAATTCCTATTTTCTTACAATATATCATTATACATAAGTCAGGTTATGATAAATGATTTATACAAATGGTTTGAACGACTCTTTTATGCATCAGTTCCATCTGACGCCGACTGTCTCGATGTGGCTGTGATTGGCGGTGGCATCGGGGGCGCCTACACAGGCTGGAGACTGAGGGACAGGGGCCTCTCTATCTCTGTGTTCGAATACTCGGACCGAGTCGGGGGGAGACTCTTCACAACTGACTTTCCTGCAGCTCCAGGGACGTACCTTGATTTCGGTGGGATGAGGTTTAAGTCTGGAGCTCATCCAACGCTTAACACAACGGCAACAGAGATTGGACTGAACATAATCCCCTTTGAACTTGGATTTGGGAACCCGGATGAGACAGTATGGTATAGTCGAGGAATGCGCATGCGCATCAACGACCTGCAGACCAATAACGTTCCTTACCAACTCAAGGACAATGAAAAGAAGGACCCTGACACATTGTTGTGGTACGTTGTGAATACGTTTTGAACCAAAGCCATGGAAAGTGTGCGACTGATATGTATGAAACACTTGTATGTAAAACATAGATTCATGTTTGATTGATGACGTTAGGGAAACGGTAGTCACCGCAGTGTATGTGACAGAGAAAATCTTATTTGACTTGTAGCAGCAACAGGCATATAACACTGCCATGCTTGACCATTTAACCATGCAGACCCGTCTAACAGCTAATCACGACACGAAATTAATGTTTAGTTAATGCCAAATCACAGGTCAACTGAAAAGACTGTTTAAATGATTTTCAGACATCTCTCATCTAATGTTCAATATTTTGTTCTGAAGGAATATTTTCAACGACAACGTCAACTTCAGCAGCAACACATACCCCAGTCTAGATGAACTGTACTCCCTGACCACTTCAGATGGAACGCCGCTACACAAAGTGTCGTTAGTACTATTCCATGTTTTAGTCCTCTATATCCTCGAGGGGCGGTGGGGTAGCCTAATGGTTAAAGCGTTGGCTAGTCACGCCGAAGACCCGGGTTTGATTCCCCACATGGGTACAATGTGTGAAGCCCATTTCTGGTGACCCCCCGCCGTGATGTTGCTGGAATATTGCTAAAAGCGGCGTAAAACCAAACTCAGTCAGTCAGTCTATATCCTCGTGGTTGCAAGGTGGTGCTGTGGAGATGGTACCCTAAAACGTCTCATTTAGACTTTTTAAAGTTGTATCCCATAGTCGTGTCAGATTCCGCTGATCGAGAGTGCGACATCATGATCCTTGATTATCGAAAATATGACGGCATTAATTCAACTCGCCGCCATGAAACTGACAATCTGTTCAACGCTCATCTTTACATATTCGTTCTTTCATTTCCTCTTTCATTTCCCTTATTGTCTTTGTCTCCCTCCGTGTTTATGTGATGCTCTAATTACATCTTTACCAAAGAAGGCTACAAAATGTGACACTGCTGAACACAACAAATTTGGTTTGAATTTTTCTCCACGATTCAGACTTGACAACTTCCTTGGGTCTGCAGCAAGCCGTGAAGCTTACAACTATATATCCGACCTGAGCGGATGGGAAATGGCTGTCGGGAGAATGGCAGCGCCCCACAGTGCCAAAGTCTTTATTCCTTTCCCTGGGAATACAGGTCCAAGTGAAGGATACAAGACAATAGAGGGAGGGATGCAGAAGGTGCCACACACTCTCATGAAGAAATTCTTGGAGGCTAGCACGAGGTAAATATATTGAGAGGTGCATATTACTGAACATTTAGCTGTTGGTGGAAAATGCAGTATTTGGGTGTCTCATTATGCAATACTGGCCTATAGATCAGATTGGATTCACGATACTGAGACCGCATCGGCAAGAAAAACATTCACATGACAAATAGTGGGATTTTTCACATAGCAATGATAGTAAGAACACCTATAATGTTGGTTCACTCCAACAGGATAAACGAATGGATTGAAGTATTTAAAAGGTTCATTAATAATTGAATGTTGAACTCACTGTTGATTGAAATTTCACATACCACATATAGAACTATATGGTGTGTTTTCTAAAGTTATATTTCTTACCCCAGCCACAAGCTCCACCTGAACCACCAGCTGCTGAAGATCGAGAAGAGGCAGTCTGGAGGTTACAACCTCAGATTCAGAAAGACTCAGACAACAGACGGAATCACGACTCAAACACAAGTGGGCGGGTTTGCTGTTTTATTTCTTTTGCTCGGACAAGTAATATGTGGATTCAGTCATATGGCCACACATACTCTGAAATACCGATGTTCCAAGACCTGATCATGCAGGGCTCTTGATTTGAAGTATTCATCTAAATAATACATTGCGACAGTCTTCAGAACCTAGATAAAGTCCTGCATCGACACGCCGTACATATAAACTTCCGCCTTCTGCTGATTGTCGCATTCATTCTGAAGAATTTAATTTTACAGGACGCTCGTTGATAACAACATTTGACACGGCAAGTATAGTCAGTTGAAGGGGATAATAATCTGCATTCCATGCACTCTACCTCAGCAATATGCCTCAACAAGCCTTTTCACATATCATGGAAATACCAAATACATTCCTGTGAGTCAGGTAATAATGACATGGATGACATATAACAGAGAGAAACAAATAAAGGAACACAGGAAAATTCAAGCGTTCCTTTAATATTTTCCAGTTTTCATCACTAGCTTTGAATAGCGCTGTGGGAGGAAATATGAGAATAAATATAGGAACACTGCCATGAAGTGTTGTTCCCTATTTGTTTCCCTCAGTATATATTATGTGAGAGCCATGTTTCAGTTACCGAAATAGGAACGACCATGCCTTTAGTTTGTAAGACTGTAATAATATATTATTATCAATAACACCCTAATCCCAATCGTCATAAATTAGATGACTATGTTGTGTATTCTTTATCACAGACGGGTGACAAAGACGTGATGATGTGTGCCAGGAAGGTGGTGTTGGCTGCACAACAGAGCTGCATACAGGAGATTGATTTTCCAGCGTTCAAGACTCCCGAGATACTGCAGACTTTAGACTCTCTGGTTGGAATAACATCCGGTAGAATCTACCTAGCTTACAACACCAAATGGTGGAAGACCGGCAACCCTGACATCACCCACACCAAGAGTGACCTTCCCAACAGACAGACCTATGACTGGTCCACCGGCACAAACAACGTCTCCATCATCATGGCGTCCTACCACGACGGGGGCATGGCCCAATACTGGCGAGAGTTAAGTCAGTTTGGGACGCCAATCCCTGGCAGTCTCCCCGGAGTGAATGTTGTCACGGACGTCGTCAAGAACAGAGCTGAGAAGTACTTAAGCGCCATCTACAACGTCAGCCAATCTGATATCCCCGAAGCTGTTGGAGGCGCAATGATGATGTGGGACACATATCCGTTCAACTATGGGTGGAACCTATTTAAGCCTGGTGTTGACGAAAGAAAGACTCGAGAAGTAATACCCAAACCGTCCCCATCCGATGACGTGTACATCGTCAGCAACTCCTGGGCTCGTGATGATCTGCAGGGCTGGTCAGAAGGAACGTTGATAGCGGTCGATGAAGTCATCAATAAATATTTCAAAGGAATGTAATAAAAACACCTCTGATAATATATCTTACATACCTAAATAACCAGTTGCAATATATAATTTATTCTAATCAGATACGTTTGAATACTAATCAAATGTTTGTTCATTTTCACGAATGGCCCTTATAATGGTGCTTTTATAAAGCCTTTCTGAAACAATATTTTGTTTTGTTCATGATGTATATGAGGACATGAGTCACACGACCAATTTGTCTCGTGAAGCCTCTGAAGTGCTGTGAGACAGAATAGTGTTTTACTAGTTTAGTGTTTGCTATATATTTACTTGTTACTGGATCAGATATAATGTTTGTATTAAACACATATCTATATCCTCCATGAGCGTACTTGTCACATCATTCCCCGAAGGAGAGGCACATACGACGTTATTGTTCAGAACATTCATCAAGTACAGTGAGTGAGTTTGGTTTTACGCCACTTTTAGCCATATTCCAGCAATATCACGGCGGGGGACACCAGAAATGGGCTTCACACATTGTACCTATGTGGGGAATCGAACCCGGGCCTTTGGTGTGACCAGCGAACACTTTAACCACTAGGCTATACCTTATGATGTACAGTGAACGGTTGATTTCTTTGCATTAAATCTGAGAACAGTTAGCGGAATCCTTTTTGCACATTTCACATATTTTTATAAATAAGGCGTATCGTTAGCCCCAGTTAGGGCAGTTCTCTGATACAATATACCCAGTTGCACTAACCGTAATTCTTGTGTAACAGTATCCTAACTTTGTACTTCTTTGACAGTCCCATTTCTGGTGTCCCCGCCGTGATGTTGCTGGAATATTGCTAAAAGCGGCGTAAAACCAAACTCAGTCAGTCAGTCTTTGACAGTCTGTCATTATACATTTAGAATTAATTTGAAGTAATGTCCTAACCCTTTAATAAATGGGTGTACTTTCTATGTGGATTTCATGTATATATATATTGAAATCCACATAGAAAGTCTCCTTTCTCAATGATTAGCGCAATTAAATCTATATATAACCATTAAAAATAAAATCTTTGTGAACACACTTCAATTCGAAAATTGCCAAGAGCAGTACACAGAGACACATCGACACAAGGCAGGTAAAGGTGTTCACAGGAAAGTGGAAGCAGCGCTGTAAAAGGTTTAAGCATAAACACACGGTGCCTTTCAGAAAAGGATCAGATGTAACGTATGGTACGTTTGGGACTACGCTTCCTTCTAGTACTTTGTGGGTTGAATCCCATGCTGGATTCTAACTTACGCCCTCGGAGTGAGGCAACTAATCGTCAGAACTGTGTTGGTTAGATATTGTTATAAGGTAAAAATTCATCCCCAAAACCATGAGAGAATTATATCAGATTCGTATTTAGATTTGCAGTTTGTTCATGAGTCATAACGGTTAGGCATGGTATGGAGACGGAAAGTTTCCATACAATGGCGTTTAGCCGTAGGCTATGGAAAGAGAGACAGAACACATTTGTTGTGAAAGACATAACAGATTAATCTTATATTGAAACAAACAAAAGGGATGAGTAACCGAATGATTTTTACCGGTACTTTTCCAATCGTAATATTCATGAGTGCAAGGTCGGATATAGGCTAACCGAATCAAAATGATTAGTTGAAACATGTGATCGAGATCAGGCCAGGCTCGAACCATATAAAAAGATAGGTTGGGCACTGAGCGAGTGGTGCGCGCTTTTGTAGTGACGGAAGCCAGTCCACGCCACTCAGTTGCCTCGTGTGGTACGAACCTGCCTTGTCTGATGTTGAAGTTGTAGAGATGGACTGAGACTGAGTAAAAACTATGTGAGTATAAACTTGTTGTTGCGTTTCTCTTTGAATGTATGTGTGCCAGTACATGACTGTTATGTGGTTAATTAGGAGTCACGGTCGTCAGAACCCTCACTCCTTGACTTAGCGTCCTGCAACGGACCAAGCGAGTGGAGCGCCAGAGCTACCATCTCCCCGACAATGTGGAACGACCATAATTAATAGGTAACTGTGGTAGGGTTTACTAACACCCAATCGCCAGTTACGACATGGTGGAGATTGCGGGTTCTTCTTGAACAAAATGTTTAAGACGATCCCTTTCGCTGTTTTTCTTATGGTCGTTCCTACCCTTTTGTTCCCTTGCGTTGACGTTTGACGGTAGGTTCTCTTTTCACGGCTGGGATATGTTATCTGCAGTTTTCCTTCAGGATATTTGGAATTTTTGTAATGCCTCGTGGAAATGATTCAGATTCATCTACGTCCTATGACAGTCTGGTCCAATCTCGTCCCATTACGTCTAACATTTTTACTAATCCAGTCCGACTTGGCATAATACAACCACCGTTTCAGCCTCTATCTGCTCCTCGAGACCTCTCTCTATCTCTTTCCCTGGAGGATTTAGACTTGTCACTTTTCAGTAACGAACTTCAGCACCAGGCCGGTCTCCCTGATCCGTCCTCTTTAGATTTGTCATCATCTGTCAATAGTTCTTATACTGCCCCTGACTTCAATATGGGTGACTCCACTTTAATGCCAGAACATTTCACAGGTAGGGACACGTCTCATGCTGCCGAGTGGCTTGACCGTTTCACTCATTTTGGTAACTTTAAAAGGTGGACTGATGCACAGAAAATTGAAGTTTTCCCACTGTTTTTAAAGGACGCGGCGTATCTATGGTACAAAGATCTGATAGAATCGGCACAGGAAGAAATAGTCCGTTTTGATGAGATTGAGAAATTGTTCAAGGACAAGTATGTCCATCCGACTGACCGTTGGGCCCTTTTGGAAACTTTAGTGAGTCGAAAACTTTCCCCTAAGGAAGTGTTATCAGTTGGTGAAAAGCGTTTCAATTCAAACAATTCATTCCAACTATAGCAAGTTTTTTTTATGGTTTTACAACATTATGGCATTACAACCGTACCCTTAAATCAGATGGCAGACCCCGGTTATCCTATTAGCAATAGAAAGCTTTTGTTCTCCGCCAAATGCCAGATATAACGGTAGCAGCAAAGTGTATTTGTGTCGATGACGAATTCAACCGTTGTCTTATAATGGTTGACTGTCCACGGTCCACAAATGCATTGTGCAGAAGACGAAATCAGCACGTAATCTTGATAATGGAGTTCAACAAACTTTTAACGACCAGTCATTTTTCAGTGTTAGAACACTTGTCATTTGGTACATTGACCATTTGAGTCTACACAATGGTTTAGAATTGGAAAAGCGATAGTTTTCGATAAATACTCCATGTTTTAAAGTTATAGTAATATTTTGTTAAATGTTTTAACAGTAGAGATCATCGTGCTCTTCCCTCCTATATAATTACCAAGTCACAAAGTGAATGTTCAGTCATATATTAATATTCATTCTTACGACAATATTGTATAACTTTTCTATAGAGACAATACCTGTATTCGGAATTGATGTCTCATACATTACGGATAGATGGAAGTTATTTATATTACATAATTCTACTGTGGATTCTCTTCAATGTTACTTGTTAGGAAATGTTCTTATCCGTGTTCCAATGTATACTTTCAGTCCATCCCATATTTATCTATGTTGTTCGTTCTTGCTGTTTTAAACTGCAAAGCATTTACTGAATGTTGTGAGTAACTTGCACCTATTTAACCTATTACAGGTATTACAGATGTCGTCCATGGTTAAAATAACATTTGATTCCTATTTATTGATGCCATGTTACATAGGTATCAGAGAATATTCATGCAACATAATGGACTCAAATTGTTTTCGGCACGCAGTCGGCAGTCAAAGAATGCTGTAATTGTCTACTGTGATCTGTACACAGGTTGCCATTTATTTGAGCGTCATGTTTTAACATGTATTGCTGTCGTATCTAATGTATATTATAATACTAATTATATTCGCCGTGGTTTTTAACACTCGTTTCAAGTGTTGTAGATTAATGGCCGGACCTCCATTCGGACGGGAGAACAGATTAGCTCCTCCCCACTGTCGTCTGGTCCACGCCACATCGATTATCTGGCTCCACACTTGCTGTTACCGGCGAACGCTATCGCAAGGGTTGCGACGCTGAACACCGCCCATGAAGGCGCAGTATTGACGATAGACACTGCAAGACCTCTACGATGTCCCCCTCCAAGTTGTAGAAAGCAACAGGGTACATCATCAGTGAAAATACAGAGCTCCTCTCGCAGTGTGCAGAACATTTCGTCTCCTCACTTTGATGACCACGACAATAACTTTGCTGTGTGATACATGGCCCTGTGTTCAGACATTAATTTTGTTGTGGCCTCGCACAGAGTAAACAGCGTTCAGTGTACATCAAGTGACATTCAGAACATGACTTTTCCAGTAGACGTGTGCCAGTTGATTCGATGGGACCAGAGACTTATGAACTTTTGTGAATGGTGGTGCCATTTTTGGCAATATTGGAGACATTTTCACATTTAATATTGATTTTAATTCATTGTTGTGTTTTCATCTCATAATATATGATGTATATGCTTTGTGGTTACCCGAAGTAACATAGGATCATTCTCTTATTCCTTGGCATGCTCGTTTTTTTTAAAGTCAGTATCCTCGAGTTTTTCCGAATATTTCGAAAGTTTGAAATGGGTTATCATTTCCTCTCAGAAATTACCGATCCTGTTTTGCTTCGATGGTGTTCAATGTGTTTAACTTTAACATATCTGACCTGTGCTCATGTTTAATGTATCCGAGCTGTGGGCAGCTCTTGTCCACAGGCGGAGGATGTTATAAGGTAAAAATTCATCCCCAAAACCATGAGAGAATTATATCAGATTCGTATTTAGATTTGCAGTTTGTTCATGAGTCATAACGGTTAGGCATGGTATGGAGACGGAAAGTTTCCATACAATGGCGTTTAGCCGTAGGCTATGGAAAGAGAGACAGAACACATTTGTTGTGAAAGACATAACAGATTAATCTTATATTGAAACAAACAATAAAGGGATGAGTAACCGAATGATTGTTAACGGTACTTTTCCAATCGTAATATTCATGAGTGCAAGGTCGGATACAGGCTAACCGAATCAAAATGATTAGTTGAAACATGTGATCAAGATCAGGCCAGGCTCGAACCATATAAAAAGATAGGTTGGGCACTGAGCGAGTGGTGCGCGCTTTTGTAGTGACGGAAGCCAGTCCACGCCACTCAGTTGCCTCGTGTGGTACGAACCTGCCTTGTCTGATGTTGAAGTTGTAGAGATGGACTGAGACTGAGTAAAAACTATGTGAGTATAAACTTGTTGTTGCGTTTCTCTTTGAATGTATGTGTGCCAGTACATGACTGTTATGTGGTTAATTAGGAGTCACGGTCGTCAGAACCCTCACTCCTTGACTTAGCGTCCTGCAACGGACCAAGCGAGTGGAGCGCCAGAGCTACCATCTCCCCGACAATGTGGAACGACCATAATTAATAGGTAACTGTGGTAGGGTTTACTAACACCCAATCGCCAGTTACGACAATATTGCTGTCTTAGGAAGCTACGGAGTCCTACAGGAAAGGGGTTGCTATAGTGATAGATAAAGGGGGCCCTTCAGGGAAGTAAAATGGGTCAAACAGTGAAGTTACAGACACACAAGTGCTCAACTTTGTGAGTATTAGTGCTGCAGTGTGTATCAGTCGTTCAGTCCTCTCCGACACTGATCTGTTGAGATATGAGATACAACAAAGTAATGACCTTAAGTAAGGGCGGTAACTCGTGGACGTCATGTTGTAAGTCATTATCACCATAAAAGTGTCGGACTCAGTTGACTGGCAACAGAACGAGTTGATAATGATCCAATCGTCATCCCTTCATGCTTGGCAGCAGTGTAGTCAATATTATTGATACAGATGCCGATTATCGCTGTCTTCTAGATGTGAAAAAACACACGCGACAACGCATGAGGCTAGGGAACATGTTATACCTGAGCTATTGTACAGAATTCTCGAAGTACACAATACATTGATGTCACAGGTAATACAGCCAGAAGCCAGTGGCGGACAAATGTTTGAAGGGCGTTTAGAAGTGGAATGCATATTGAGAAAAGCAAGAAATATGGATCTCAACTTCTTTACTGTGAATAACGCGACGTACCGGAGTGTATGCTTGCTCCTTCATCAGGTGACAAGCGAAAATAGAGGAGAAGCGAAAACAAATTACAGGTTTGAAAAGGGAACAATACCAGGTAAATATTACGCTAGATGGAGAAATGTCAGGGATGTTTTGTTTTTTCTTGGTCTATTGTTTAACGGCGCCCTCAGCAATACGGGGATGTGTACAGTACAGGGTATAAACCACTACGATTTCAGAGTTAAGCACATTACCGTCAGCACACAAACCCACTAGGAAACGGCGTCTTCACCATGCAGGATCTCATCACTGACTGGGAGGAAATACATAGATCAATGTCTACATCTCACCGGCCAGTCGCCAAAATATAGTTTCTCGAGAGGCTATAGTTTTTCCAGACAAATGAAATAAATAACATTAGCTTTAAAACAAAAACAATATGGGAATGATGTGTAATATAGTTCTTCATAGGAGTTTATCGTACCATCGTTTTATCGTAACCAATATCTTTCGTGTGCTTGATAAAACGGGTTAGAATACAGGAGGCGAGTTCTGGGAGATCGATAAGTGACTTGCTTGATGTATGTCATCTTATCCTAACTTGTAAATCCATTCTCATGTTCTCAGTCTCTGGATTGTCTGGTCCAGACTCAATCATTAACATAGCGTCGCCATGTACAACTGGAATATTGCTAAGTGCGCGTTAAACAACAAACATGTGGACATAGTTAGTGAACCTACAGCAAACTTAAATAATGACATACTGGTAGAGTGACAGCATTGATGTAATTGTTGTAGCCTTCAGCTGGGGTGGATAAATACGGCCGTGACTTGTTACCTGAAACCATTTACATACATACATATATTTATTTAAATATAGATGATGAAACGGGGCATAAGAAAGTAGGGTTTATAAAAAGCAGTCACCGCTTACCTATTATGTGACAAATTGGAAACGTTTGCTCAACAGGGACCAAAAAGAATATCATGTAAAGGAGCACCTGGAAGTATGGCGTTGTGCTTGTTTTTGGACACATTCTCTTCAAGCATCGCATCAGAAATGGATTTTTCTGTCTGTTGTGGTCGTTGTACTTGAATTGACTTAAAGGAGGAAATACATGAATGGAACAAAAGCTGAATACTTATTTATTTTTCATAAAACTGGCACGTTGAAATGGATTGTTATAGTTTGTTTCAAACCTAAATTTAATTTAACTGAATTAATTATTTAATTTTTCTTGCTTCGCTTTAATCTGAGGTGGTTTTATAAGACTATCGTAATGTTTAGCGTTACTTTAAATTCCTTCTTCAAGGTAGTGTCTTGTTTGCTGTAGTTTCTCTCCCGTCCGAAAATGCGGTTGAATTCAGTCATTGTGTAGAATGTGCCTCTACTCTCCAGGGCCTCAAGGACCACGATATGAACGAACTCGAACTGATGCTGAAAAACAGAGGGAAACACAGGCATAACATTCAAGAACGCGCGTCCTAGGAATGCAGCACAGTAACCATGATTTACACTGCTACAAAGAATATTGTGTGTGATTGTGCTTGTAGTTGACACTGTTCATACTCACCACTGTCTGGACCATGTTCATCCTGGCCTGCCTCATCCTAGACACACACTGGAACACGTTGACCCTGTGCTCTGCCTCAGCCTGGTCCATCAGATAGTCCAGAGCGATGAACGTCCCTGTCCGCCCCACTCCAGCGCTGACAAAAACAAGTCAGGTATCTTGTCACGGTCCTGACTGAATTCAAACATCTTACATTTGAGTGGACATTTCCATTTTTGCGTACCACTAACTCGACAACCTCGTCCAGGTACGTATCCCACCATTACCGATTGTATTTAGACAGATTTCATTTCCGGAGACACGTTTTCACCCACCATCAAACACGACCATCTTCAGTTGTCGGCAGTATTATGTATCTGTCCTCACACCTACACCCATTCCCAGCCCCATCTCATCATACCCCTCCTACCTATCCTTCATGATCACGTCTCAACGACAGTGGCCCGCACTCATTTACACTTTACACGTACATTACTGTTAATACACCATCAACCAGGCTCACTGCGAGCCTATCCCCTTTCCAACAAACCCCTGATGTTCACTTCTCACCTGCAGTGGACCACCAACGGCTAGGTTAACGAGAGGCGACGTTGGTTACACGGGGCGACCTCTACGTTGTATCGCTGTCTAAGACGTTCTATCGTTCGTACGCTGCAATTGGAAGCCATTAGCAATGTCTCCAGCACGTTCACCAGCGTCTAGACGTCCAATGGATTGTGGTCGTTGATCTCTCGGTAACCTATCCATAGCTGCTGCATTCAGAAAACAAGTGAACGATTGCCATTCAAGCCGGCAATTTATGCCTGAATGCACGCAGGATGCACGTGCATCTCGATTTCAATGTTGTGTTTGTGCGAACTGTTCCCTTTCCACAAACAAAAACATTTCTAACCTCAATCTCAAACAATTCTTTATTGGGCAAAACAGGCTACACGACCACGATTCATGTTTTCCTCAAACTTGACTTCCGATGTATGTTTAAAACCAATAGGTTCAAATACTCCAATGATACTTAAATGTCATTTACAACATTACGATCATTATTTTGCCTTTCAGTATACATAAACATTAACAACAAGGACAAAGTAATACCTACACGGCGTATGGCACAAGGGTGTAGCAATACAGCGCCGCTAAGCTAGTCAAGCGTACCAGTAATCTGTGTAAACAATATTCAACGTTAAAGTTACGATAACTCAAACTACATAGCTATCTTCTATCATTTCAAAACCTTGGACATAATAAAACCAGTTCAAGCTAATGTCACATTCATACTTACATTCACATACACACAATCTTTTCTCTTCTTTATAAAATCAGTCAATCAAACGTCCAAATATGCAACCATTCACTCATAGGAAAATGAAAACACTTTAATGAATTATATAACTTATTTGTTTACTTTCGTATCAAATATTGTACACTAAAATTCTTATTGGGTTATCATTTAGATTAAGTGACTTGTTGAATCTAACCTGTACACGTACACGCAAATTACAGTTTATATTTACACATAAACATTAAAAATATAGCATTTGAAAGTATACACACTGATTGACTAATAAAAGATGACACTGACGTGCGAGATATGATTAGATGAATTGATCCCAACACAGGATGAACGTCCTGCTGGTGCAAACAGTGACAGTGAAGTGCAAATTAAAATTCGGAAAAAGAGGACAGGAGTGTGAATGATCAAATCAGATTGGATCAAATGAGGGCACATAATAATGCGGGGACCCTCCCTTAATTAAACTGAAACGACACTGGCTATTCATATACATTTGTTAAGATGAATATAGTGAGTATCAAAATGACCAGACCTGTTGATAGAAACAAAGAGAGATCATTCATTAATACAAGTAAGAAATGATATTCCTGCAACGCAAAGTAATTGTTAATATACAAATGTTCATAGAATTGTTAAATCACTTAAAACTAACATGTACATGACTGTAAATGTACAGAATAATGTATCTGCCACATTGTGTCCACAGACTGATATACAGTTCTTACCACATTTGCCATCGCAAGCTGTGGATGAAGTATTTGAGAAACACATCGGAAACTGCCTTACATTATTGATGCTGTGAAGTATATTGGAATCACTGGTCAATCTGACACTGATGTGTTCTTGAACATATTGATAAGGTCATGCTTATACAGACTTAATCGAGTCTGGACCAGACAATCCAGTGATTGTCACCATGCGATACCTTGGCAGAGTATGTTTGTGTGAAAAAAACACGTTCGAGTCATTGACCTAAAGTAGTTACAAGACTCTGTATTATTCGAAAACCCAGTTTATTTAATACAGGCGTTCTAACCTACCCTTGCTATATAGCTGGGATATTGCTGAGTGCGGCGTTAAACAACAACGAACCAACCAAACCTGGGAACAATGTTCCAGTCGAAGACACCCTTGTCAAACTCTCTACCAAACACTCAGATTGATCAGGTTCTAAATCGACCTTCCTGTGATAGGTCAATCTAAATCATCTTGATTCTGCTTACAATATAGATAAAATCTCTCCAATGGTGCAAAATACATTTACAGCATAATGGTTCTAACCTTGAAGCCTCATTTTACACGTCGTTCCATTCCAACCTGGTTGACAGCCCACTGGGCAGCTGCCGTCCACGTGGTTGCAGTTAGTTCCGTTACAGTGTCCACAGTCCGATGCACAGTTCTTACCATATTTGCCATCGCAAGCTGTGAAGGTTGAATTTGAGAAACACATCGGAAACTGCTTTACATTACTGATGCTGTGAAGTATATTGGAATCACTGGTCAATCTGACACTGATGTGTTGTTGGACATATTGAAAGAACCATGCTTATACAGTGAAAATAGAAGCGACAAAACCCTTTTTCCACATCCATAAGAAATCTCTGCCAAAAGCAGAGTCAATTGTACAATTGTGACTATATCATGAGTATATATTTGTTTTAGTGGTGTTACAGCTGTACGATGTTGTTTGCAAACGCATCGAGTCTGGACCAGGCAATCCAGTGATTGTCACCATGCGATACGATGGCAGAGTATGTTTGTGTGAAAAAACACGTTTCAAGTCATTGATCTAAGACTCCGTATTATTCGAAAACCCAGTATATTTAATACAGGCTTTCTAACCTACCCTTGTCACAAGCAGGTTCGGTCCACCCATCATCACAGCCTTGGTGACATGTGCCGTTAGTTCTGACACAGAAGGTGTTGTTCAGGCAATGTCCACACGCGTGAGAGCAGTTGAAGCCATAGGTTCCACTCACACACTCTGTAATGACATATATTGTATGTATGTGTGTCTTTTGATATTTGATCGTTACTGAGACTCACTATCTTAACATGGTACATGTGGTACATGCGGTACATGTGGTACACTGATATATTCGTTGTCGCATAAGACCTTGTTAGTCTATGTTCTTACCAGGTCACTCCGATCTGCTTTCTTGATATTACTAAAGTATTAGGTTACATTGATGTGCTTTGTTCCTCACCTTGAAGACAGTCTGTTCCATTAAATCCTGGTGGACATCCACTTCTACACTGACCTACCACTTTGTCACAAATCTCAGACTCGTCGAAACAGTTGCACTGCTTTTCGCAGTCTTCTCCGAACCAGAAGTCACTACAGACTGAAAAAACAATTCCGTGTTATTCCTTTTGATATTCGGTTGTTGTTTTTCACAGTATTTTAACATGAACAGAGACAGAAACCAGACCCGGGCAGTAGTGTGAACACACAATGTGTATCACAAGTAGTGTTCATAAAGAATCTAGTTTACTTTGTTTGTTTTGACTAATGTGGGGCTCATAGTGCGTTCCATGTGAACATCTCTGTAGACCTCAAATCTGATAATATTGTTCCAGTCGAAGACGCCCTTATCAGACTATCTACCTCTAGTCTATCCCACTGTATGACGCCTGTTGTTGCCTCGGGACTATTTTACTCCCCATGTCAAGGTTTCAACACAGTTTAAGAACATTTACATTGTGTCTTAAAAACATAACTACGGTCTTACAGTGGTCCGTTGTTCCTTAACAGCTCGATTCATGCTTTGCACAACAATGACATATGTTGTAATGGGGAGGGGTAAATTGTCCCAAATCGGCCTTATATATTTTTTTATAATGCACCTGGTCTATGTGATTTCATTATGTAGGTGTGTGTGGGCTTGTACTGACCTCATGACACAATCACTGACTCTCATGCCACAGAAGATGAAAATTCTGGAAGCTATCACATTACATCACATCACATCAGTACTAGTTTCTGTCTACAGTATTTAGAGAAACAACAAAACACAATAGAATGTGTATTATACAGTAATTGTTTCAAACACCAATAATTCTTGATTTGTAGCGTATAGGTGCGACAACACACATCTGTAGACATTACTATAACAAATACATGATTCCTATTTACAGCTACTTCACGACTGGGTGAGGTGAGGTGAGGTGAAATTGGGTTTAACGTTGTACTTGAGAATATTTCGCTCATATGACGACGTGCATGCGTGTGTATGTGTGTGTGCGGCTGCTTGTACTAGCCCAGACTTTGGTTTCATAGTGCTAGCCCACTGAGATTCCATGCCGCAGTGAAGCATGAATACCCCACTCAGACACATTATACTGACTCCGAGCCGACCAGTCCTTGTTGTACACATTAATGCCGAGCGCCAGGCATGGACCAACAAGTACCATATTTTAACGTCTTTTGGTATGACGCGGTCGGGGATCGAACCCGCGACCTTCCGCTCTCCGGGCGGACGCTCTAACCACTACACCACGGAGGCGGTACTCACGATTGACTGAGTGAATAACTATAGACGCTTGAATGGGTTTGAGCACTCACACCGCTCAGGAGTCCCTCACCAGGCGCGTGCTGCACATGTTGAACGACTTCACGGTACACCACCCTGCTAATCCCTAGCCTGTTATCTATACTTTTGAAAGACAAGTCGGTAATGCCTTACCTTACAAACCTCACTTCGCCTGAAAAACTTATCTAACGAATGCAAACATGTGATATTCAAAAAAGCTAGGAGATGCCCTATTTGCTATGTTTGCCAGAAGATGTAACCTTGTGAATTAATTCTTAACCTACTATTTCAATTGTATCTGGATTTAACTGTTTTTCAAACTACCTTGTGTACACGAGTAATTTTAACTATTCTAATGGTTCTGTAACATTCTATATCAATATGTCGATTTGTATGGGTGAATGATACATGGTGAAGTTTTTGAAACGTTATGAATGTATGCATGTGACTAAACTTGAAGATATGTAAGAATATGTGTGTGGGAATGCTTGTGTGTTTTTGTTTGCGGGAAGGGGAGGGTGTAGGGTGGGATGCTGTAGTGTTGTGTACTGGGTGTAGAGATTGGGTGGTGGGAGCGGAGGATGTGTGTGTGTGTGTGTGTGTGTGGGGGGAGAGAGGGGTGTGTGGGTCAGGATGCTGTCGTGTTGTGTAATGGGTGTAGAGGTTGGGTTGTGGGAGTGGAGGATGTGGATGTGTGTGTGTGTGTGTGTGTGGGTGGGTGTAGGGTGCGATGTGGATGTGTGTGTGTGTGTGTGTTGGGGAGGGGTGGGTGTAGGGTGGGATGCTGTAGTGTTGTGTAATGGGTGTAGAGGTTGGGTGGTGGGAGTGGAGGATGTGGGTGTGTGAGTGTGTGTGTTGGGGGAGGGGGTGTGTGTAGGGTGGGATGCTGTAGTGTTGTGTAATGGGTGTAGAGGTTGGGTGGTGGGAGTGGAGGATGTGGATGTGTGTGTGTGTGTGTGTGTGTGTGTGTGTGTGTGTGTAGGGTGGGGATGCTGTAGTGTTGTGTAATGGGTGTAGAGGCTGGGTGGTGGGAGTGGAGGATGTGTGTGTGTGTGTGTGTGTGTTGGGGGTGTGGGGGTGTAGGGGGATGCTGTAGTGTTGTGAAATGGGTGTAGAGCTTGGGTGGTGGGAGTGGAGGATGTGGATGTGTGTGTGTGTGTGTGTGTGTGGGGGAGGGGTGGGTGGGTGTAGGGTGGGATGCTGTAGTGTTGTGTAATGGGTGTAGAGGTTGGGTGGTGGAGGATGTGTGTGATGTGTGTGTGTGTGTGTGTGTTGGGGGAGGGGTGGGTGTAGGGTGGGAAGCTGTTGTGTTTTGTAATGGGTGTCTGTTTCATTTTGATCATGTTCTAAATCGATCTTCCTGTGATAGGTCAATCTAAATGATCTTGATTCTGCTTACAATGTAGATAAAATCGGCTCGGGTAAAGTTTATTATTCATTAACTTTGAATGGAAGTAGTCGAGATGGGTGCTAGATTATACCCACCAAACACCTGCACTTCACAGAGGCTGAGGGAGTCTGCAAGGATTGTAATGGTGACATTTCTTCCTGTCAGAGTTTTGTCACAGGTAACATTCCAGACGGTTGGAGGGAGACCTGCCTTAGGCCATTTGAAACAAGACCTCCCGTCTACCAGAACTTCCATTCCCTTCCTTCTGTACTTGTTGGCATCTTCATGAAAGAGATGTAAAACAGCATCAGTACTTCTCAACAAATTGTATCCTCATATCATACTCGAACGTGTTCGCTCTATAACAGTGTGATATCAGTCAAATGTTACAAGTGGTCATTGACATTTCATAGTAAACAATTTTCCCGCATGGGACTCAACCACAAAAAGTACAAGAATATATACTTTACTGTCAAAGTGTAATCCCAAATATAACAGATGTCACATTAGACCACTTTCTAAAAGGCTCGGTGTGTGCTTCAGACATAGATTTACAATTTACACCTTACAGAATGCTCCACAGCAAAGAGCACAGCGAACTTCAGGTGTCTTTGGTTATGATATTTATACCATACGTTAATAAAGCGCCATCGTATTGCAGGTATGTAAATACGCCAAAACAGATGTTGGTGTTCACCTGATTATAGATTGTAACATAACTATCCCATTTCATTCATTTTGCCTGCTATGAAAGGCCACTTACTGTCTTTCCGATTGTAGATTGTGATATATTTTATCTGGTGGTCTGTTGACAGTGCTACATTCCACCAAGAGTTCCTGTTTTGTTCCCCTGCTGCAGCATGTGAGCATGTCCCGGACTTGAAGTCTGTATTGGTGTTGCCGTCCACAGCCTTATCAGCATGGTAAGTCTGGTAAATACCTTTTTGTGTCGCAGTGCGATTTAGCGCCACATTTTCTGAGATGAAAGAAAGAAATGGTTCTTAATGTAGAGAAATGGTTCTTAATGTAGAGATGATAGAAAGAAATGGTTCTTAACGTAGAGATACCACAACAGAGATCATAGCTAATGATGTACTCAATAGTTCTTAATGTAGAAATACGACAGAGATTTCAGCTGATACATGTTATAACTACTGATGAGTTGAAAGAAGTATCGGAAAGTACGATAGTTTCCTATGACCGGGGATAGTAATGTACGTAGCGCCGCGAGCAGGCAATGCACCTGGATATGAGCGCCATATAATCCCACTATTACTATTTACTATTACTACTTATTCAAAGGTACTTAATGTAGAGATACCACAACATAGATCACAGCTGCTATATGCCATAACTAATTGTGTACTTATAATCATGCTAGACAAGGCAGATACGGGATATCCTCGAAAATAGAAAATATTGGAAAATAAGCAATACATATGCGCACAAAACGTCCATACTCCCAAACATACCTGCACATACATACATGCACGCACGCACACACACACACACACACACACACACACATACATACATCCATACTTCCATCCATCCATACATCCATACATACATACACACACAGACACACATCCATCCATCCATACTTCTATCCATCCATCCGTACATACATACATACATACACACTTCCTTCCATCCATCCATCCATCCATCCATCCATCAATACATACATACATACACACACCCACATCCATCCATCCACACACACACACACACACATCCATCCACCCATTACATATATATATATATACATACATAACATACATACATCCATACACATCCATCCATCCATCCACACACACACACACACACACACACACATACATACATACATACATACATACATACATACATACATACATACATACATACATACATACATACACCATCCCACACACACACACACACACACACACACACATACATACATACATACATACATACATACATACACACACACATACACACACACACACATACATACATATTCATATTTCTTCTCACTTACGTTTTTGACAGTAGCTTCCATACCAGCCTGGGTCACAATTTCCTCTACAGTCCATCGGGGAGTGACAGGGTGTGTCCTGACAGTGACAGTCGAATTTACGGCCTGTATTGAGACAAATGTAGGCACATGATGCTAAGTAGGACATTCTTTATATACTGTGGCAACTTCTTTCAGAGGCATGTAGAAGTTGGGGCAGTAAGGAAGGGTAACAATATATGGATGAACAACTTCTTTATTGCTGTGAGAGCGACGTTTCCGTGTAGGTTCTAACACTGTTATCAAGCAAGTGATGAACAGCAAAAGTATAAAGGAGCTTAAACAAGTTATACAAGCCATAAAGAAGTTGTTCATCCATATATTGTTATCCTTCCTTATACTGTGTCATTTGGTGCAAGTGAAGAGCAGGGAAGATTCTAACCAGAACAACAACAAAGTAACTGACCTTGTACATGTTGCCGTGTGCTTCTTGCCTCTATTATGACAGTCATCAGTCCAAAACACACCAGCCAAATCGTACTCCAGTGGGGCGCCATTCCAAAGACTACAAGTAAACGTGAACATGATTTTGTATGGGTCAACAAGATACATGTATATATGAGATGGCTATGGCAAGACATTGACGTTGGAATTCTGCAGAAAGTTCATTGTTGCACGTGCAGTATGAGGCCGGGCGTTGTCTGGTTGAAAAATCTGTGTCTGTTGGTCAATAATCGGGAGAAGGTGAGGCTGTAATACGTGGTTGATGTAACGTTGGGCTGTCAGGTTCCCTTCAACGATCACCAAGTCTGATTTCTGGTTGTATGAGATGGATCCCCAAACCATAACGCTTTCTCCGCCAAATCTGTCCCCTGTCGGACGCAGATGGGCGCAAAACGTTCATGACGTCTCCTATACACGTTTTCTTCCGTCGTGATGTTGCAAAAGAAAACGGGATTCATCAGAAAACCAGATGCGCCTCCAGTTTTGTAAAGTCCATATCCTTACGTTGTTGCACCACCTGAGTCGTCGGCGGAGATGTAGGGGGCGTAGTACAGGTCCAACAACTGGTCTACAGGCACGTAAACCCGCTTCTTTCAGACGGTTCCTAATCGTTTGAGCTGACACTCTCCTCAAACCTGGTATTTGTGTGGCAGTCACGGTTGGTAGGGCATGCCGATTACGCAGGTGATGGACCCGGATGTACCGATCTTGAAGGGGGGTCGTGATTCTTGGCCTTCCACTTCTCGGGCGATCGTTGGTCAAATTGAAGTTGTTGTAGCGGCTCCAAAGTCGGGATATCGTTGTTTTGTGAACATTTAGGTGCCGTGCAACAGTTCCAAAACTTTCTCCGGCTTGAACACGACCAATGGCGATATTTCGGTCGGCAGCACTCAATCGTGGCATTTTTCACACAGCTTTTCATGCGACAAATGAATGAATATAATACGAAAGCACATGGGCTTTTTTATACACCCCTACATTAACTGCCATTTTCATGATTTGCATGTGTTTTTTGTGCGAAGTCACCATGAGGGTCATTTCATGCGTTGTGACGGAATAAGCAATAAAATACACTTATGCGTACAAATGCAGTTGTTTGGATGGTAATCTTCATTAATTACGTGTATAATTTCAATACATTCGAATAACATTTTATTTATATACTCGGCGTCATTAATGAAGGGTCAAGCTATTGGTAACACTATTTCTAAACAGTTGTAAAATCTTCGTTTTTGTTTGAAATATATACAACTGAATGTTTTACAAACTTTCTTAACAGTATGGAAAACACATCAGGTCGTTGAAATGCCATTATGGAAATCCACCTGCCACTTAATGTCAATGATTTGCACGCTCAAGTCTCTCCATCCATGGAAAGTGGAGGAAAATAGACATGCATTGATGCTTTTTCACTGTCGTTCACTGTTCAGGTACCTGTTTAAAATCGCATCTTAAAATGAGACGGTTTTTGACACTTGCTGAAATGGGTCAGGCTTTTGGCCTTTTAGAATCTGGTCAAACTCAGTTGCTGTCCGTTTTAATGTGAGTCAGAGTGCTATTGGCAGACTGTGGCAGGCATTTCAAGCCAACAGGTCCGTGGAATATGCACGTCAACCAGGTCGCCCCAGAGTCACAACAGTCCGAGATGATAGGCACATGATTAACACTGCGTTACGTAACAGATTCCTTAACGCAGCAGATCTTGAGACAGAACACAATGCTAACAATGTAAGGATATCCAGGAGCACCGTTCGCCGATGTTTAAGGGCAGTCTCTGCTGTAGGCGACCTGCCTTTTCGTCAACCACTAACACAACGTCACAGGAAGGCGCGTTTGAGATGGAGTAGACATAATGGCCGCTGGAATCAACGTCAATGGTCTCGTGTGCTTTTCACAGACGAATGCAGATTCAATTTGTCCTTCCATGATGGTCGGCAGAGAGTTTATTGTCGCAATGGAGAACGAATCATAGATGCAACTATGCCACGCATAGCCGATTTGGTGGGGGTCAGTCATGGTTTGGGCAGGGATAACTCCTACTGGACGTCCTCCACTGCACGTCCTCCACTGCACATGGTCGACGGTAACCTTACGGGACAGCGTTATTGGGACGAGATTCTGGCTCCTATAGCAGTACCATTCCTGTAAGCTATGCATGGCTTTAATGGTCGACACTCTTTACTGCCACTGCAACGCTAGGCATCATAGGATCAGGATTGTCACGGAGTTCCTTAAGCAGCAGGGGGTAAAGCGGCTATTATGCTCGCCAGACCTCAACCAAACTGAGCATGCCTGGGATGAACTCAATCGACGTGTCTAAACACGTCACCCAGCACCAGTGGATCTCCCGGGACTCCGCAGAGCTCTAGTACAGGAATGGAATGCGATTCCGCAAGCTTTCTTTATGAATTTGATAAGGAGCATGAGGACATGGTGCACCAGTGTCTTGGACGCGCGAGGAGGGTACACAAGATATTGAATGACAGAGTGCTTCATGTTTGTCATTTTGGGATTTATTCGATACAACTGATGTTTGCTAGTGCTGCTTGAACCTTTTGTCTGGATGTCACGATGTGTCACGTTTGTCAACACATTAAACACTCTTAGTTCTATTATTTCAGAGAACCTTTTCTTCACATGTGCTATATTTCATTTGACCCTTTATAAATAACGCCTATGGGAAGAAATAATCAGCGATCAATAAGCTAACAGTAAATTAGATATTCCTAGATATGAGAGAACCTGACATTCCATCATCAAATCCTGTCTGACATTGCTTTCCACATTTGGTTATTATTCATTAACAATGTGACACGAAAAGCTACCTTCTCATGCCTACACATAATCCTTGCAAACAATACGAAAATACAAGAAGACTTTTGTGTGTATTCTCTACTGCAAGTAAGACTTGGAAGAGACAAAATAAGTATATTTTCCAAAATAGTCTGCTAGAGATGCTATTATTGAATTTTGTCCCTAGTGTCACATTGATAATCAGTAGTCCCTTTAGATGTATCACACGGAGCTAGTGCATCCCGCTTTCTGTCACCTCATGTGTTTACCTGAATGGAAGTATGGAAGATTACTAAAATGTGCTTACATAATTTATTTGGTTTTGTTAAATATTTTCGTTGGATTTCAATAATGAAGTAATGTCATGAATCCCTGTTATGAGAGAAGAAAATACTGAAAAATAATTCCATTGCCGTTATACCTCTTTGTTCTTTATTAGGCACGTTTATGAAATGCATAAATTAGCTTTATGATTTTTTATTTATTTCAGATTGATTATCAGCATTGAACGTAGTTTATTACTTATGTTTTACAGTTTCTTCTGTTGGTTGGGGAGCAATTAAGTTACTCCAAGCACGGACATGACGGAAGTATTTCTTGTATTGTTGTTACAAACCTCATTTCCTACTTAACATATAGAATTATTTTTCAGTATTTTCTTCTCTCATAACAGGGATGGGACTAGCAGTTTCTGCTCCATTAGTCCAGACACTTCATATGGAGGGAGCATTTTGACTGTTTATGACAGGTAACCCAAATGAGAAGGGTTAAAAAATGAAACATTTAAATTCCATAAACCAGAGGCGATCAAAAACGACTAAACTACCGGGAGAAAGAAAGTTATCACTTCTGAAGTTATTGTATGAAAAACAAAAACACTGGTACAAGTTTGAACCTAAGCAAGAAACAAGCTGTCCGAAAACTTTTTCCAAAACGTGAAAAACGTAATTGTTGGACAGTTGGTCCAAATGAAAGTGCATGATTGTGGCATGATTGGCCAGACCCAAGACCGTCCAAGATCGGGAAGACTAAGAGTCACGACACCGGCCGAAAACAGCTACATCCGACAGATCCACCTCCGGAACAGATTCGTGGCGTCAACGTCGGCGACAGTACTAGGACACGCCATCAGCAGACGAACAGTCGTTCAACGACTTGTTATGGCTGGTATAGGTGCCTACCGCCCCTTCTATGGAATGGCCTTGGCGCCTCTGCACCGTTAATGGGCACGAACGGTACGTCGGTGGCAGCGACGTGACATCTCTACAGATGAAAATCAGTTCAGTCCGTTCAGAAACGATGTTCACGTTTTCCGACGTTGAGGAGAGCGACTGGCGCCAGACTGCGTTCAAGAAGTTCATCCGTTCGATGGAGAAGGCGTCATGGTGTGGGGCGGTATGTGTCGCCTGAGAACAACAAGACTGGTTATCATCCAAGGAAATCTGAATGCCCAGCGATGCAGGGATGAAGTGTTGAGACCTTTTGAGTGCCCTGTATTCGCCAACAGCCAAGAGGAGTAAATTTTGCAGCACGACAACCAAGGCGTCACACCGACAGAATTGTTCGAGAATACGTATTGCCATGGCCAATGCGTTTTTAGACATGAACCCTATGAACATATCTGGGATCGCCTTCGACCTATGGAACAGGATTCCTGCTGACGCCATCAGCAGAAGACCTGAACAGACTATATAAACAACCCTGAACCAAAGAAGCAGTAATTGCAATATTAGAGGAACGTAATCTATACGAACATCGGAGAGAAACAAACAAGGGTATTAATGGATATGTATGGAGAATACCACTTAAACATATTCGCCCAGATTTCTTAAAGATAACCAGAACTCTTAGAATTCCTGTTGTCACCACAAACTACAATCTACAGGTCGGATCAGTCAGTAATTTCAGAAGAAATAGAACGATTGGAAAGGAATGCAGGTTTAGATAATAGCCTCTTTTATGGTTCAGGGTTATTTACTAGACAATGTAACAATACCATACGTTGGTTATAAACAGCGAAAATAGTTCACAATGAACGAACAATTGTTCTTAGAAGTACTATCATGTAGTATGTCCTATCAAATAATCATCAGTAAAAGAACAGAATAAGAGAAGACAAGAACATTTTCGACACGATAGATTAACGAGGAAGAGATCTTCACAAAGACGTCATTACTCAAGCCAAGAAGAAGATTGCAAAGAAATGCATGAAATAAAAATATAGACAAACCGGTTTAAATAGACCTAAAACAAGTGGATTCATAATTA